TTTTGCATCTGCATAGACGTTTTAACGTCGCGTTCAGGTCTGTCCCGTAGGAAAAATTGGATAACTTGGTTGCGCGCGAAGGAGAACAGGGCACCAGTCAGATTTTCTGACTGCGACGGTGCACAGTACCGTGACACGGGAATTTTTGTCGTGTCACGGCAGTCCTAAAATCTGTCCGGTGGCTTATTTTCTTTCCTCACAGTCGACTTCCTTCGATTTTTCTGAATAAACGTATGTGTTCTACATGCGTCTTAGCCCCGGGGGATTTAAGCTCTATCGACCCAAAAACGCTCATGGCAATAAGGGATCATCCGAGTTATTAAATCCACCCAAACCATGGAGTCGAGTTCGATTTCATCACGAACTCGCGGAGCCGCCCGTTGGCATACACCCTCAAGGGAGGCTGCCTTGCTAACGCGTCCAAACTCTTAACCATGGTACCCTTTTGACACCCAAAGCTTGACCAATAGTTGAACATAGATCTTGACTCTAGGTTGCGAACTTTTTTTACATCATCGTGCCTAAATGCTATGTGGTTGCTTGATGCTAACCTTCATGTGTTTGCTCTTTTGTTTAACCCATGACCGAGGGTTTTTATTCTCACATAGTAATTAGTACGGACCTAAAATCGGTTAAAATCTGGAAAAATCACAAAACTGACCTGGAACTGCGCACCGTGTCACGGCATGTTCTCCCGCGCCACGGTGAACAGTGCCGTGACACGGGACTATCTACCGTCTGACGGTAGACTGCACCGTGTCACGACAGTCTGCACCGTGACACGGTGCCCAGGAAAGTGTTCTGTCAGTCTTTTTTTTCGATTTTTGTGCAAATGTCGTGTCCAGTTTTGTGTCGTGTCTAGCTATACGGTCAAAACACGCGTCTATAACTTCACTTAGTCACTCACATATCGCGTTCACACACTTTTTTCTTTAAGTCGTGCACCACTTTTTGACCGTATTTTAGGGAAGTCTCGTTTTTGTGTCGTTTATTTTTTCGGAGTAAGTCGGATGGTATCCTCCCATATGTTTTTTTTTTAAAAAAAAAAAAAAGAATTTCAAAACCATAGATTTTTTTTTATCCGGATGGGTTAAGGTTAAGTTTGGTCATTAAAGGTGTGTTTGTTTCGGTGTCACAGCACTTGGTCAAGAAGCAGGGGTAGATTGTTACGGTTCGAGTCCATACCTCAACAGCCTCTTATACCAAAGAGGCGTACAAGGAAACCACCTCAATCATCTCCACAAAATCCATCTCCAGTCTACTTTCAACCAATGGCCACTAAGGAAGACATCGAAAACCTCAATAAGACAATTGAAAGATTGTCTGACATGATGCAGACACTCACCACTAGAGTTAGTACTGTAGAACAGGACAATCAAAACAATGTCACTACTGCTGCAATGGACAAGATTAAGGAACAGATGAGCAAGATCTCTGAAGAGTTCACTTATGTGGAACAGTCTGTCACCTCTTCGTCCATAAGAGAGAAGCTTCCTGAGAAGTTTTCCACTGCTGACATTCCCAAATTCAAGCCTACTGATAATCCGATTTTCCATTTGAAGGCTTTTTCTGCAACTATGGCTCTTAAGGGAGTAGATGTGACACTCTTCCCTACGGTGTTCCCTCTTTCCTTAGAGCATGCCTGTCAACAGTGGTTCTATTCTTTGGAATCCAAACATGTCACGACTTGGGAGGATGTTGCTGAAAGCTTCATGAATCGTTACAAGTGTAACATCCAAGCCAAGACTTCTGAATGTGAACCCTCCATTCTCAAACAGAAAGAGAATGAAGGCTTCACCACTTACTTAAGCAGGTGGAGGGAAACAGCTGCGCTCCTGGTGGATCCCCCCAAGGAGAAAGAAATGGTTCGCTTGTTCATTGCCAATCTGACTCATAAGTACAAGCAACACTTGAAGTTTCTGCCTCTGAGTACCTTTGACGCTGTGTACGATATTGGAATCAATATCGAAGATGAACTGATGAAGTCTGTTGGTAGCAACAACAACAACAGCACTTGGAAAAACAAGAAGAACGACACTCCTTCTTCTTCGTCTTCTAAGCCCAATAATGCTACCAACAATATCAACATCAATGATGTGCTGGCCCTTAATGCTCCTCCTCAAAGATTCCAAAGGCAAAGGAGGGTTTACACGCCTTTGGGGATGACTTATGATGCTGCTTATGACCGTTTGCATGGTCAAGGACTGATTATGCCAATCGGACCATTTCCAGAACCTCGGCCAGAGAATAGGACCGCTAGCTATGACCCCAATGCTTATTGCATGTTTCATCAAGGCAAGGGTCATAATACTGAGAAGTGTTGGAGGCTGAAGGATGCAATCCAAGATCTAATCGATGCTAATCAAATTCCTGTTGCTCCAGGGGGCAAGAAGCCTAACATTCAAACAGGTCCTCTTTCTGATGCTTTGGCTATCATGGGAGATGAAGTCTCCTTTGATCCGTCAATACTCATTCAACCTGTGAATGAACCTCTGCCGGAAGTTGTATTTATCTCAAGTATTGAAGAAGTGAATGGGATCTGGGATAGTGATGATGAAGACGTCTATCTCAAAGACATAACATGTTCATCTCTCGGCACCAGTGAAGATGTTTGGGGGGAATTTGAGGTCAAGGTTCTCACCAGAAGTGGACGGTTGCAACAACCTAACTTACCTCCACCTCCACCACAATCACATTCGATAGTTGATCCCATCGACCCTGTGAATAGCGATGTGGTCAAACAACTGCAAAAGACCAAGGTGGAGATGAATGTATGGAATCTTTTGGCCACTTCCCACGAGCATCGAAAGGCTGTGATGAATGCTCTGGTGAAAATAAGAGTCGATGATGACATGACTCCTCAAGGATTGGTCAACTTTCTCACTACTGAGCTGCCGAGTACTAGCAATCGGATTTCCTTTTCTGATAAGGATCTACCCCCGAAAGGGGACCAACATAATAAGGCCTTACACCTCACTGTAGTGTGTAGGCAGATGAATGTTCCCATGAGCCTGGCTGATAATGGCTCTGCAATCAATGTGTGCCCATTCCGTACTGCAAAGAAGTTAGGTATAAAGAATGAAGAATTGACTCCCTCCACTCAAGGGATTCGAGCTTACGATAATACTCGCCGTCAAGCCGTGGGTACTATCATATTGAATATAACTACTGGGGCCATTGAACGTCGCACCAAATTTCAGGTGGTGGACATTAAGGCCTCTTTCAATCTGTTGTTAGGACGCCCTTGGCTTCATGAGCTAAAGGCGATTCCGTCATCGCTTCGCCAGAAAGTGAAAGCCATAGTCGGAGGGATTCCGATTATTATCGATGCTTCTCCTATGCGCATTCAAGTTATTGATACTCCTATCGTCCATGTTGAACATGACGAAGAAGATGAAGATCTGTGGGGGTTTTCACTAGATGATGTTCTTGTGATCGAAGAAGAGGAAAAGTGTCATCTCGACTTCGATCCCTATTCAAACACCAGTATCAACGCCATTCTGAAGAAGCAAGGTCACTTCCCTGGAATGACCCTTGGGCTCAAGAAGAAAATGGCTAAATCTTGGGGCTATCCTGGTGCGCTCAAGAAGGATACTTTCGGCTTGGGATTCGAGCCAACAAAAGAAGATCTGAAAGGACCTGCATTGAAGATGAAGGCTCGCAATAACGCTCGAATCACGAAGACGGAAATGGCCATGGATCCGTATCTGTTCACCCTCAATGGCCAGTACATCAAAGAAGAGGAAGACTTCCCATGCTGTGAATTCCCTGAGCCATTCGTCCATGATGGGATCCGTGAACCAGGATTCGAGGTGTTCCTCAATTGTGACTTCGTTGACGAAGACGAAGAGCTCTTCACAACCGAAAAGCCAGCTAGCCTGAACTCTGATGATCTAGGAATCAACCTTCTTTTTGGAATGGAGAAAAATGAGCCTAAGACGGTCTGCAATGATAACTCCAAGCTCGTTCAAGCCGTCATAGCGAACAAGGATTTGACCCCTCCGAGTTAATCGTCCAAGCTGACAACATTTCAATGGGATGGCGCAAGACATTGAGGATCATTACGCCGAGTGGAGAGAAGTTGGAAATAACCGTTGGTGAGGGTCCTATGTTTGATGAGTCTGAATCGTCTAAGTCCGAGTCCGAGTCTGAGTCTAAGTCTGTAGACGAGTCCTTAGAGTCTGAGGCCGACCCTCTTTCTGCTATAGAGTTCAACCCTGATTCTCTTGTTGAGTCCTCTCTTTCTAGTCCTAATAATTCTGGTGAGGTCGCAGCTGACCTTGCCTCTCTTGATATATTAGCCAGTGAATTCAATAAAATGAATATCTTTGCTTACAATGCGTGCCATTCCCCTAGCCCTGATCAATATTGCTTTGCTAATGATAAAAATGACAAAGAAATAATAAAAGCAATGGAAGAACACGAAAATAAAACAGCAGTTATTGAAGATACAGAAACAGTTAACATTTCCAATGACACGACTATTAAAGAAGTAAAAATTGGATTAACACTAAGTCAAGATGAACGCAAAGAGCTAATTAACTTGCTTAGTGAATTTGTTGATGTATTTGCTTGGTCATACCAAGATATGCCAGGAATTGACAGGGATATAGCTCAGCATATAATACCACTCATTCCAGGTATGAAGCCTGTCAAACAAAAGCTGCGCCGAATGAAACCAGATGTGGCTCTCAAAATCAAGGAAGAAATTGTTACGATATAACATTAGGTTACTTCATATTAAATAATGAATTAACAAAAGGTCGATATTGTTTTTATAAAACTACCAATCAATTTTACTTTTTTTTTTAATACTACATTCAGTTCTTATTACTCGCATCAAAGAAAAATTTTATGTCTCACAAACAATACCCCTTTGTTGCGAGTAATATGCACCGGAGGTAGTATAGTATTTTATATACATACAATGACCCGAGGCAACACCCGGGCTAAAAAACTTGTTATCTACCGTAGTAAATTTCCTTAAAACTTTGTGTATTATTACGAAACAAATGGAGTATTCCACAAATTTCCTTAACACCCTCTCTTGATCTCTCTTCCCCAAATAGAGAAATCCAGAAATTAGAGAAGCTAGAATAAAGTGGTTTATCCACAAAAATGGCGGTTACCTCAATTTCATGCATTCCTTCACTACTTTTTCAACCAAAATCCAATCCACCTAAATTCTCTCTCTACTCTTCCTTCACTACACCTAAATCCAATTTCTTCACATTTACTTCCCGCCAAAATCTCATCAATGCAAAGTTTGTTAATAATATTAGGTACCCCATTACTTTGCTTAAAGCTCAAGCTTCCTCTTTTAATGGCGAAAAACAGCCTATGCTTCCTCCTTTCAATATTCTCATCACCGGCTCTTCCAAAGGTATTTTTCATCTTTTCCCATATTTTTTTTACCGTTTGCTTTTAATTATTTCCCTTGATTAACAATTAAATTTTTATCTTGGAATTATGTGTCGAGATTTATTTATTTTCTGGGATTTTTTTTTTTTTTTTGAGTTTATGGAGTTTTTAATTGTGTGTAATGGGTTAATTGATTGTCTCGAAATTAATTGCCTGAAATTGGGTTCTGCTCTTCTGATTTCTTTGTGAAATTGTTCAATTTAAATTTTTTATATTATTGAATTTTAAGTGTATTAGATGTCAGAAAAAATAGGCTGTTCTTGCTATTGTTTAATGCTCTTGAATTTTTCTCTGTTATTGGCTAAAAGTAATAAAATCAATACTCGGTGGGGCTTATTTATTTTTAAAAATTCGGTTTTACAGTGAAATGAGATTATTCATTGCTTGTATCGAGATGTGACCTTGGTTTAGATTTTTAGAAAGAGAATGGAGAGTAAAATGACTCAAATTAGTTGTTGGCAATAACGTTGAGATTGCGAGCAGCTTACTCGGTTACCCTTTTGTCCTGTTTCTAGAGGGTAGTGTGCTTGTTTATATTGATTTACTTAGAAATTATCACTTCACTAATAGGATTGGTTGTTAAAGCAATAAAGCACCTTGTAGGAATTAAGAGGCATTGGGTTGGGTTTGAGAATTTGTAAAAGGTTAAGTATGACAAAGCAAATGCCAAGACATGTACGATGTAGCAATATGTCATCGACCCAATGCCATGTCATATAACTGCTGCTGATGCGGTTCCAAGGCATCAATATTGTTATTATAATTATTTTTATTGTTATTTTTTTATTTTATGTTTAGGTGACCAAATTTATTAGGATATTTTTGTTAGCTTAATTCGGTTAGTAGAAGATAAGCTTAACTTTAAAGATTATATTTGCAATATATTATCTTTACAAGTTAGTGTTAGTTTCCTAGTTAGATTAGAACTTGTTTTACACAATTTTTAGGCTAATTATTTAGCTTATAAATACGTGATGGTGTTTAACGAAAAGGATGATTGATTAATTTGAAATTTATAAAGTTTTAGGTGAACTTGCGCTTGTGTATTCTTGACCTACTTTAGGTTTAAAGCTCGTGTTGCTTAGTGTTTCTTGATCGAGACTCAAGATTCCAAACCTTTCAATTGTGATTGAAGGTTATATCCATTAAAATCCATATCAGCTGCACATTTTAAAATTTACAATATATATTTCTACCGTGATCCGTAAATATTGTAGTTGTTTGTGGCACTTTGTGCAACTATATTTTCTCATTTAGTTATCATGCTATTTAATTTTACTAATCTTGAATTATTCTACATTCTTGTTTTAATACAAATATTGATCTCCATGCGTCATTATGCCATTTGAGTTGTAATTTGATTGCTATATCAGATTATCATCTCCCTCAGGACCCTCTTTATCAGAACAAATGGGCTGTGTTGTATATGTGGTCTATATTTGGGAATAGTGTAAGATTGTCAAATACAATTTAGTAGTACAATTGTTTATTCCTACAAAAAATATGAGCTCCCTTGTGCATTGGAAGAGTTGAGTCCTCATTTTCAACTGTCTTATTACATGATGAATTTGTCGCATTTAATGTGCGGGCTATTGTAAAGAAGTATGGGTATATTGGAAAGCTCAAAAGCTCTATTATTAGATGTCCACAAAGATATAGGCCAGATTTCTTGATTTAGTAAGTTACATTTAAAGTTTATTTAATATGAGGAAATGTAAAATTTTTAAAATGAAAGATGTTTGCGTTTTTAACTCCAATAGTCCAATTCCTATAATGGCTCTCAATCAGATGTTGACAATATTAAGGATGGAGCAAGTATTAAATTATGATTATGGCTTATGTTTCTGATTGAGAGGGAGTATCAATTACACCATATTGATGTTAGCAATATGCTTGGTGGTGGACTTGAAATTCCTTGAAGGTTTTGTTGTTTAAAAACTAAGTATTTGTTGTCTTTGCAACAATATTTTAATTAGAAGTATTTGTTGTCTTTAGAATCTAAGGAAAAGACAACTCCGAATTTTCTCTTTAACTGTTTACTTGTCTGATGTACTTAGCTTAAATTTCTCTGTCCTGTACATGTTATCAAGTTATCTGGATCCTCCTGGATCAATAAGAAAAATCATGTTGGCTGGATAGTGTTCTTTAGATATGGTAGAAATGACAATCCCGAAACCTCAAGTTTTCATTGATAATCTAGTCATGACTCTTTTTATATAGATAATCTAGTCTATACAACTCTTTTTATACCTCTGGGAAATGGGAAATACTAGTTGAAATATGATCATAGTATTTTTGGGTTTTCTATGGATGGGGATCTTTTGATGTTCCTGGCTTGCAATTAATTTATGGTCTGAAACATCACCAAAACTGGTATGGGAGTTGGAAGAACCTGAGATCAAATATGGCTAGGCATAATTTAATTGGTTGCTTAACTCTCTTGATCTGCCTTCATTTTTTTTTTTCCCCATTTTCTTTTTACTTTGTGGCATTGATGTTTTGTTTGCTGAACAGGGATAGGGTATGCACTAGCTAAAGAGTTTTTGAAAGCAGGTGATAATGTCATTATTTGTTCAAGGACAGGTGAGAATCATACATATTTATGTATTGCCAAAAAAAAAATCAAATAAATTTCTTTCTGCGTTCACTACCGTCTTCTTCAGATCACCAAAAAAAGAGATTTAGTATAAATGAGTTTTATTCAGCAATATACCAGTTCTAATAAGTAAAATTGATTGTAATCAGTTTAAAAAAAAAAAAAAAAAAAAACACACACACACACACACCAAAACACCAGGTATATTCACAGTAATAGCAGTTTTGAATTTTTTAATCAGTGACCTGCTATTAATAGCACTAGAAATCAATAATGATCAGTTAAATAATTTTTTTAATCGGTAAAGATATATTCAGTTCTGCAAATTTCAGTTCAACTGAGGGCCTTAGTTTACAAATCACCTTGGGCTTGTTTGGAGTTTGGACCTAAGAGTACATTTTGGTTGGATATGGGCATATGCAAGTGTCAAAAGTTTTAAACTGGATAAGTTAGAGTGTGCTGTTTTTTAATCATTAATTTCAGCATGCAATGGATTGTAAATTAGTAAGGAGTGGTTTCACAGTCTGATCAAGGTCTGAAGCGCCAGATTGGCCATATAGGTTTTTTGAGCAACTGACTTTATGCGAAGTTCTGATGACTGTCATTCATGATTTTTAAGTGATGATTTGAAGACTTTACTCATGCATTAAGTTTAAATGAATGACATAGTGATTTGATCTATGAGTTGGTAGCTTTAAATATGTACTCTATTTGACAGCCTTGCTTTGCGCATGGATCAGGTTGCTAATTTATATTGAGGGCATTAATTTCTAGACTTTGCCTACAGGAAATCTGTTATATAACCAAGAATTTTTAGACAATTAACTGTTTAGTTTTGAGAGTTAGTCGGGTTAGTTTCATAACATACATAAAGTTAATGAGCTTGTATGCAAAGATACCAAAGTACTTGAACTATAGTAAAAACACTAGAGGATTTGGTCTTTAACAATTTATCTCAGGGAATCCAATAGGTAACTCATCTCTTGCAGTGATCTATTTATTTATTTATTTATTTATTTATTTATTTATTATTTATTTTTATTTTTATTTCTGTTATTTCATTTTTTGTAAGTATGTCTTTCAGCTTGTCACACTAGATATATATTTTTTTCATCCACTCATGGTTTATATTTGCATTTGAGTATGTCTTTAGTCTATTTTGTTAACATCTGGCTGTTTTGGTGATAATAACGGACAACAAGCTATTAAGCTTGACCTCAGTACTAGTGTAAATCGATATAAATCTTTCAAATTATGGTATAACCATTCTTTTCTCAGGTGAACGAGTAGAATCAGCAGTTCAGAGCCTAAGAGGAGAATTTGGGGATCTGCGTGTGTGGGTACCTCCTTCACAACCTCTTTTATCTAAACCTCCTCTCTAGAAAAAATTAGCTTCTTTTATTTTTTTCTTTATTAGTAACATCTAATTTTATTGTCCACCTTTGAGCATACTTGGTTTAACAGTTTTCTCAAGTAGCATTTTTTTTTTTTGCAGGGTACCAAGTGTGATGTGAGGGATGGGCAAGATGTGAAGAATTTAGTTGCATTTGCACAGGAAAAACTAAAATACATTGATATATGGGTATATGATTTATCCTTATTATTATTATTTTGATGGAAAAAAAAAATCTTATTAACCTATTGATGTAAAAAAAAAAGATAAAAATTACTATTACTTCCCATGTGTAAGGTGTACATGGAAGCACCAACTATAATGTTGGGTGGGCTCAATGACACATTGATTTAGCTTCTATTAGAGTCAAGCTAAAGTTATTTTCTTTCCTTTTTTGGGAAAATTTCCTATCCCAACCTCCTTCCTTGCCCCCCATAGATTAGTTTTAAAAATTTCCTTTCCTAGTAGGTCCTTCTCTGCACTAAAGCTATAGTTGTTCTCATATGGGCCACTTTTCCCAAAAAAATGTTGACCCTAAGAACTTGTCTATACTGTAGGGTCATGGGCACAATATTTCAACTGAAAGCCTGAAACAAGCCAGCAATCCGCAAAATAAATGGGAAATGGATATGTCCTGAAAATCCATTCTAACTTGCTGGATCTGAAATCCGTTCAAACTTGCTTGACCAGAAGCCCATTTGACTGGCCAGCTTGACAGATCTACTTATGCCTGATAACCTGTACTGGCTTTTAGATCGTGAGAACCTATGGTGCCAATATTTGGAGATTCCCATGGATTTCAAATTTTGGTTAAGAATTGATAATGTTACTAGTCAAATGAAAGCATTCAATCAACTGAGTCAGAGACTGCGTGATTGAGCAAAAACTTATCTAACAGTGTGTGATATTATTTTCAGATGGCTACTTGTGTACTAGGGCCTTAATACACCCAATTAAGTGAACTGCTTGACAGAACAGTGTTCATGATATTTGCTCGCAGATGATTACATAACTTCTTGATCTGGCATGTTAGTGACCTTTAGATTAATCTTGTATTACTACTGATGCAGATTAATAATGCAGGATCTAATGCATATAGCTATAAGCCTTTGGCAGAAGCATCAGATGAGGATCTGATGTGAGTTATATTTTCCTTCCCTTCTTCATCTTTCCTCTCATACTCATGCAAATGGCATAATTGGCAATATCCTTATGGTTTCAGTTGTCAGCATCCTATTAGATGATTAATAACATGCATCTATGCAGTGAGGTGGTCACTACAAATACCCTAGGCTTGATGCTCTGTTGTCGAGAGGTAATAGTTCTCTTTGCTTTTGAAGGATACACGAACACTTTATCCTTGAACTATATTGTTTTATAGGCTATGAAGATGATGTTGAACCAACCTAGAGGAGGTCATATATTCAATATTGATGGTGCTGGTTCTGATGGAAGACCAACCCCAAGGTATCTTAGATTCATTGTGCATATAATGTTCCCACTTCCTTGGCTCCAACGCCATATGAAATAGAACTGTAATTGATGTTCCAAAGGCTTTTCTTTGTTATTAGTTTTTTTTTTTAGTGTTACACTTCTAGCGGCACATAATTTTAAGTAATTTACTTGACTTTTATCTAATAAGTTGTAAGTGGGGTAGTTTGGGTATTAAAAAAATTATCAGAAAAGATGGAGGTAATAGTTTATTGAAAGGTAAGGGATGTGAGATTAGAGAAATAATATAAAAAAAAAATAGTAATGGATAAGAGTGGGAACCATGAAAAGAGAGAGATTTGATATTAATATGTAGCTTGCCAAATAAGGCAGTGTAACACTAAAGGCCCGGTCAAGGGAACTGCAACACTTAAAAGAAAAACGGAGGGAATTTGCTTATCAACAACTGACCTGCCCCTGATAATTCTGGCTGAGCAGACTATATATCTGCAATATTACAGTTCCCATGCAGCAAAAGCTATCAATTTCTTTTTGTAAACTTGTTGATAAGATGTAGTTACATAGCTAGAATTGAAAATAAGTAACTGATTATTAGATAACATTGTTATATCCGCTTTAAAGTACTCTTTATTTAGTCATTCCTTAGATGGGACACCCCTTTTGGAAGGTTTATGTTATGTTGTTTTTGGATGTTCACTAATTAGATTTGCTGCATATGGAGCAACGAAACGCAGTGTGGTGCATCTGACTAAATCGTTACAGGTGAGATATAAATTATATCCCTGCATAGTTTGCCTTTTTTTGTGTTTAATATGTGTAGGAATCTCATTATTTTTGTACAATGCCATTTTTATTGAGGCCTAGTGGTGTGTATGATTGAGCACTGAAACTTGAGCTTCAGAATTTTCATATTCCTAAATCTTTTAGGATCTAGAGGAGAAACCTTAGATGAAGGACCTATCTGAAGGTGGTAATTTGTGTGTTGTGTGTGTTTGTGTGTTTTTTTTTTTTTTTTTTTTAAGCAAGGATGATGGGTTAGGTTGGTAATTTAGGGATGACCATTGGACGTTTGGACTTGTTAATAATCATGGAATGATCGATTATAAAAAAAATTCAAAATATTCTGTGTAATTTGAAAGTGTAAAAAAGCTTTATTCTTTTTGTTACGCAGTCAAGAGCTCATGTTAGAGTCTGCTTAGGTGAACTTAGACTCATCACTTATGTTTAGTATTAACAATGAATTTTACTTTTTGACTAGCTTAGTAGCTTTTGCTCCTACTTAAGGGTTACCTGGCTGAAAGTAAGTATGTAGAATAGAAAAAATATTTGAAAAGTATATGTCCATGATGGGTAGTAGTTCATTGTTTCTTTATCTTTAGTTCATCTGGAAAATATCATTAGTTTTTATTTTTTTAGTTGCCGGGTTGTGGTGAGTTCTAGCTGTGATGAAGGGTTACTGACGATGATGGTTTTATTTGTTAAGACCTGCATATATATCCTCTCACCATCAGCGGATTATGATTATTCTAAACGTCCATACTGTGAGCTCTAAGAGCGCTAAAATCATCATATGTGAAGTTAAATATTCAAAATACTCTGTTTAAATAAGTGCATCACTTGTATATGCATATAGTTTTTGGAAATTGAATTGATGTGAATGTTATAGTGTGAAGTTGGAAATATAATATGTTGATAAAAGGTAAGTGAGGGATTTATCCACACATTGGAAAGAGAAAAAAATATGGATGGGGGCCATGGAAAGAGAAAAAACATAGCAAGTGGGGTTAGTGAGATGGGAAAGAAATAATACTACTTCCGTTAAATGTTATGTGCAACTTTGGAATTTCTTATATCTCACAAATAATAACCTGATGTTGCACATAACATTTAACGAAGTTAGTATATAGATGGATAATATAAGGAAGTGATGCATAAAATTGGCCGAATAAAGCAAGTGATGCACTTAATTATAAATGGAGGGTGTATAAAAAAAACTCTCTGTTGATCCATTTTATGCATGTTATGAATGAATATCTGTTAGCCTACTATCCCATGCTTAGATAGTGTTTTGACAAATAAGCAAATAAGGTAAGGGCTTTGTTTAGGAAAATTCAAAAGAGAGAATTTGAACTTTAAGTTCAAATTTTACTATGATCTTGCAGTTAATGTCAGTGGGGTTAAGAGTATTATTATTAACTTAGATCATCCTAGATCTTGTCTGTCAAACTGTCACTATCAATGCACATTTTAGCTTGATTAAAAATACCCTGAACAGAAATAAAACATTTCCAGTTGAGGAATAAGCTACTGATCCATTTTCTAAGCTAATACAGCATTTTAATGGGACTTTCTGCTTGCAGGCTGAATTGCAAATGCAGGATGTGAAAAATGTGGTGGTGCATAACTTGTCGGTATGTTATAACTTATCTGTTTTTTAAATTGTGCTCCTTGTGCTAACTATTCCAGAAAAATCAATGGTTTTTAGAATTAAGAAATGGGGAATCAAACACTCTGCATGATCATGATGTCCCGCTTTTCCTTTAGATGTCATTTCAATATTAACAGCTTTCCATCTCATAATGAAAATGCAGCCTGGAATGGTCACAACTGATCTTTTGATGTCGGGTGCTACAACAAAGCAGGTTCAATTGACAACTTTTTTTTTTGTATTGTTTAATTTTCCATTCAATGGAGGATTTATTTTATATTATTTCATCTGCAGGCAAAGTTTTTCATAAATGTTCTTGCAGAACCTGCAGAAGTTGTAAGATTCTATCTTAATCACCAGTTAATCTGTTAATGAACTTGTTGCCTATTTGAAAATGCTTGAGCATTCCATTCCAAATTGTAGTGCACTAGTGCTCTCATATTTTGTGATGCTTTGCTATGTATTGTAATGCCTTTTGTGATCATAATGCTTTTAGAAGTGAGAAATTGAACCAAAAAGTTTTCCGTTGAACTTCAGAGCCATCATGTTAGCCAACAGAGCAACAGCACCTAATGCTACAGGTTTTGGCTGTGGTAATTGATGTCAAGGTTGATGACTGCTGTGATTTCACTAATGATTTTGGCTTATTATACTGCGGTGTGAAACAACAGATCAGGTCTCTTGAAATCAACACTTGATAGCTGGAATGTGTTTTCTATTCCTAGAACAAAGCTCCAAGCCCTAACACGGATATGAGAAATATATTGCTTTTGTTTTCTGAATTGAAATTTGGTAATAATGTTGTATTCCTCTATACAGGTCGCAGAGTATCTTGTCCCTAACATTAGATCAATTGCTGGCAATGGATCAACAAAACCAACATACATACGGTTTTTAACTGGGGTGAAAGCCTACTCACAGATCTTCTCAGTAAGTTGAAAGAACAAAGAGATTTTTGCTCTGTTGTCAATGGCTTCCTGGTATATATTGTCTGAAATGAACTTTTTGTTTCAAATTTGCTATGCAGAGAATTTTTTTTTGGTGCCAGGAGGAATAGATATGTGCTTGAAGATTGAAAAGCTTGCAGCTCAAATTTATAGTATATTATTAAGTTTCTTCTCTATTATTTTGCCCATTTTTTAATTATATGGAATATGAGAAGCGGTTATATAAAATCTATATTGATTTATCACCAAAATATAAATTGTACCATTTGTATACTTGGCAGCTCGAGAAGGAAGCTATCTTTATAGAAAACTAGTTTTGTGACGATTTAAATTATGTAGTAGGCATGTAAATGACTAATAAGAATATTGGTGAAAAACAAAAAATGGTTGACAAAATACATATAAAAAAAATATTAAACTAAATTGTATAAAGCCCGTTGTGTTGACCTGAACCCAAAACTTTGGGCTAGGGCTGAACATTTCTTGACCCGTAACTTGAAGTGACTTGACTCGATTGACCGATTTACATACAATTTTAAAATCATACAAAGTATTATATTGTGAGGTATATTATTTTAATCCTTTAGAAATATTATAAATGGATGTTATACGTTTTGAATTACTTTTTTCGCTCTAAACAATATTATGATATAATAAATAAATATAATAATTATTGAGAGTTATAATCTAATATCTTTTTAAAATAAAATCATAATTCAATTTGTACTTGTGAAATATTTGTATTTTATCAAAAAGAAAACTCTAAACTACCAATTTTATTCTAAAATTCTATCCAAATTTGATTGAAAATAGAATTATAAACTAATTTTTTTTTATGCTTCAAATTAAGTCTATCTAAATATATTCAATGTGGTGTGCACTTGGTGAAAAGTTGGAATGTCAAGTGTCATTGCCTCATGACCCGACTAAAATTTAACTTTATATATTAATTACTACGTTTATGATACCGTACCCTCATCTCTCTTTGTAGTCATCAATAATCACTAAAAAACAAAATATTGACGACATCAACTCTGATGTAAATTTTTTTCCCCACCAATTTTTGCTATGAAGATGTCATTAGTTTTTATTTTATTATTTTTTTTCTTTTACTTTTGTTTTTTATCTAATAAACCTTTAAAGTGCTTTATCCTTTGTCCTTTTTTTTACAAGCATGTTAATGTTTCGATTTTTAAAAGTGTCATTGTTTTTTTATTTATTATTTATTTTTATTTTATTTTTTTTACTTTTTGTATATTTTATAAGTAATATGCTACAATAGAAATTACTTACTATGTATATAACAAATTAACGGAGTAGAAAATTTTCTTTCACCGTATTATAAACAAACCTCATAATGTGTTTGTTTAAAAACGTGCATCACACGAGATCTAAACTAGTATACTCACTAAAACACACTTTAATTCTTGATCTGTACTAAACAAACAAATATGAGAAATTATCTCAAAGAACTTGCGTTCTCTGAGACGAAAGAAAATAATCTAGTGGACTACAAATTAATCAGAAATGAAAATAAAATCACTTTCCTGGCAACAACGTCAAATTTTGACAGGATCTAGTCGTATCACCTAATCAAAAGTAATATACTTCTTAAAACCACTAACTAAAATAGATGGGAAGTAGGGTCGAATCTATAAGGAAACAATGTTCTTTTATTCCTGATAAATTATTAAAATCTAAATTATCAAGTAACAAATAGGATTTTATATGAATTAATCTAAGGGAAATAATTAAACTAAGCAATAAGACAACAATCAGTTATCAATGCATAAATTAACCAGATTATAAAAGGATTTCGCTATGTATTACAAGCAAATGATTAATCTAGCGGTATTAAATCGCATCTCTCGAATCTTGACTTAACCATTTATAAATTAACTTGTCTATTGAAAGGAAATTTTCACATTTGCTACCAGCAAAAGGACCCTGCTTCACATTTACTGTTTTGGGTGTTTTTGTCCCTTAGGAGAGTTACAACTCGAAGACTGGTCTGGTGGCGCATATACCTGCAAAATACGGAGACTTCGGGTTGTATGGAAAGATTTGAAAAATAATTCAACTCAATGAACTAACAATCAATATCCACATTAAGTCATATTTTTACCCCATTTCTACTTGCATCACTGGCCACCTCATTTTTAAATGGGGGGATTTTTCTATGTGGTTGGTCACATCGTATGGCCAGGTTACTCGATCAGAGGAAACTTGAGTTACTTCTGACCGAGTAACCCCTTATATAACCCCCGACCGAGTAACTCGTAACCCTTGACTGAACCCCTCTTGTAAACCCTTGACCGAGTAACTCAAGTAATCCCTGATTGAGTAACCCATCTCCGAGTAACCCCTAACCGAATCCCTCAAGTAAACCCTAAATTAAATCATAACAGAGTAACTCGAGTAACCCATGACTGAGTAACCCTGATCGAGTAACCTCTCAAGTAAAGCCTGACCGACTAACCCCTTAATTTAAATAACTCATGACCGAGTAACTAACCCATGACCGAACCCCTCAAGTAAACCCAAACCCTGACCGAGTAATCCCTCGAGTAACCTCTAACCGAGTAACCTCTTAATTAACCCATGATTGAGTATTTAACTAACCCCCTGACCAAACCCCTCAAGTAACTTCTCACCGAACCCTTAAAGTAACTCTTACCAAGTAACTCGAGTAACCCCTGCCACACGATGTGACCAGCCATATATAAAAATTTGTCTTTTAAATTGCTCTCTCCTCTAACTTAATACAAAGTACTTCCTCCATTTCTATTTAGATGACTAACATTCTTAAAAAAGAAATGTCACAATACTTACCTATATTGTAAATGGAAAGTTTTTATCTACAAACTCACATAATTACACTTAATTGGCCCCACTTACTATATGCTTAATAACCCCCAAATCCCCTGCTCCTTCAACCCTTCTCCATTAAAGCCCCACCTTCTCCATTAAAACCACCACCCAAACCGGAATCATTCCTTCGCCGGGATCACACCCTCACCGAAAACCAACACCCGTCCTCAAATACCACCACCCTTTCCGCCACCCCTGACCCACTGAAATTTTCCACCACATTGTGTAACAAACCACCGCAGAAAGCCACCACCTTCTCCACCGTACAACCACTACCCTCTCCAAAAATCACCACCCATCACAATGTGCTACCCACAACTCACTGGAAATCATCAATTCATTGCCCTACTGCCCAATCTACCACCCTAACCCCACCGAAATATGCTACCTTTACCATAAATCGTACCCCCTACGCACCGATTATGCATCTCTGATCCTTACTCATCGGAAATCACATACCCACTACTGAAAATCATCACCCCAACACCACCACCAACAGCGTACCTTAACTCTATATTCTCTCTCTTCAAACCCTCTAACTATTAGATCTATAACCCACCACCACTTTCACCCAATCACTCTTTATTTTTGGTTGAAGAGAAAAAAAAAGATGAAAAAAGGAAATTGAAAGGAAGAATTGGGTAGATCTGATGAAAGAGGATGAAAGAGAAAGAGGGTAATAGGTGGAACCTTGGTTGAAGGAGAGAGGAATTATGGTGGGGAGGTGGTCATGGAAGTGATGCGTGACGGCAAGAGGGAGGATGAAGTATTCTTGGCTTCAATGTATCTGAGTGTCAGTGGTGTGATGTGGGGTTCTGGGATAGTGTGTTAATTAATTATGCTTTATTACCTAACAAAGTTATTAAGCTATTCACAATACTTTCTCTCTTTTCTTTCTTAAAATGTGTGCCAAGAGCTATGGGTCATCTATTTAGAAACGGAGGAAGTATTTTTTTTTGGAAAAATTTGCCATTATAATAAAAATATGATCATTATATATCTCAACTGCTATTTGTCACTCCCAATTTACCAGGTAACGCTCCCTTTTTGACTTGAATGGACCACTATGCCCTTTATGCAATTTGTGTTATAAAAAGGACCTTGTTCCCCATTTGGACACAATACATGAAACGGTTCCCTCACTTCACGACATTGTTGTCCCGAGCCTCCCAAAATCGGTCCCCATGACCTTGCAACCAAATCGGTCCCCACGACCACCTAAATTTTCTATTTTAAAAAATCGTGAAATTTTCCAACGGGTCTTGAGTCATGGACGGCGAGTGGAACATACGTAAACATACGTACGCCGGAGAATGCGTCGGATCATTCTGTAAGTTTTTATTTTATTTTCAGTAATTAGGACATCCGCCTAAAATTTCCGGATGTCCTAGGTACATCCGCCTAAAATTTCCGGACGTACCATGGAACATCCGGAAATTTCAAGCGGAAGATGGGATCCGCCTAAAAAATCCGGATGTTCCATGGTACATCCGGAAATTTTAGGCGGATGTACCAAGGGACATCCGGAAATTTTAGGCGGATGTCCCTATTCATATATTTTTTTTTAAAATGTTAAGTACGTTTATATAATTTTTTTTATGTTTATTAAGTTTTTTTTTTATGTATTTTTTTTCGTGATCTTGTGATTATTGTTGTGATTTAGTATTTGATAATTAATGTATTTTGTTGTATTAATATGATTATTAGTAATATGTTTATTTTTTGTTTCATTATTATTATTATTTATATTATTATTATTATTATAGAAAATATTATTATTATTATTGTTGTTGTTGTTGTTGTTGATGTTGTTGTTGTTGTTGATATTGTGATTATTAATTAGTAGAAATATAATTTTAATATTATTATTATTATTATTTATTAATTAATTAATGTTATGGTCTTATAAATTTTTTTGTAGTTGTTATTATAATTTTTTATTATCATTAATATTGTTATTGTTTTGTATTTGTTGTTATTATTATTAGTATTGTTATTATTATTATTATTAGTATTGTTTTTATTATTATAATAATAATAATAATTATTATTATTATTATTATTATTATTGTTTTTATTATTATTATAATAATAATAATAATAATTATTATTATTATTATTATTATTATTATTATTATTGTTTTTATTATTATTATTTTGACATAAAGCATGTTTTGTTTAATTTGTATAGGATATGGAATCTGAGGAAGGCAGTGACGGTGTGAATTATAGTGGGAATTTTGTCACCGATACGTTTTTTCCTACATTTGACGATGCAGTTACATGGGCTGATGGTGTTTCCATAAAATTGGGATTTATATTAGTGAAATCGTCTTATAACAAAACCAGAGATGGTCGGCCGTATCGGTATTTGCGATGTGATTGGTCACGAAGGAGCAAGCCGAGAGATTTGGAGAACGCGATACGGAAGGACACCAAAACCAAAGCTAATGG